TTCTAAGTCTACTTCTCTGAAGCAAAGATTAACTACTTCAATTTACATTCCTTGGCGGAAGAATCTAAGAGATGACCTAAGAAAAATATTTAAACTAAGGAGAGAGGCAGAAAATATCCATTAATTCTGGTGAAATGGGACCATAAAAATGCAGTGCTTGGGAATCTTTCAAGAAAAAAAAAGAAGCACAGCCATTACCAGCTAAAGCAAGATATGAGGTATTTGCAAGTACATCTGCAGATAATTTCTTTTTATTTAAGACTTTCTGCTCTGTAAATTCAGTCTCAAAATACCATAGTCACTTGATACTTTTGGGGTTCTTAACCTATGGAAGAATAGTACTTGCCTCTTCTTTCTTTTTGTCAGATACTTGTAACCTGGCATTAAAATTTGGCATAGAAGCCCCACAGAGGTACTATAGAAGAAGATGATTCTCGAACATGCACTGTAGCATTCAAGTGTCTCACTGGTTTTAGATTTTCCCTGAGATAGGAACTGGCCAATGTCCTTTGACAAACAAAAGCATTTACAAAGCAAATGAAATTTAGGAAGTACTACAATTACTAGAAAATGCTGTGAGGGAGCATAATGGACGCATCACCAGTGGGTAATTACTGCAGTTGAGGCATGTTGCTGTGAAATTCCAAAGAGAAAAGTAAGAACTTGCTAAATCGTTGCATTTATTCAGAAAGAGGACATGAAGTTGTTTAAAGACATCCAAGGATACTGGGAGATGAACAAAAACTCTATATAAAGATTGTACCCTAAGCTTGCCCATCCAAAGATCAATCAATTTGTTACTGAGAGACAAGCTAGGATTTTGTATTTGAAATCAGTGATTGCAAAATGCCATAGATTAGCAAAAATAGATGCAGCACTGAAGACTGAGAGGGAGCTACCTACATCATTAGTAGTGCTCTTCACACCCCGATGGAGACATACAGCACTATAGCCTGATGCATTCATTTCTTTTTCAGAGTGGCAATATGGACCCTATATAATTAGTTTCACATAGGGCTGCACTCTGTGGGGAGAAAATGTACCCAGTAGATCCTGGTCTATTTATCTCAGAGAAGCAGTGCTAATAAAGGGGAAAAAAAAAACCCGTAAAAACCCAAAGCCCACAAATAAACCCCACTAAGATAATAACCAATCAAAGCTACTCAGAATATTTATGAAGTTCCCATGGAATCTGCCAAGCAATGAGAGTCTGCAGATTTCTGGAGACAACTGTACTTTCTCATTCTGATAGAAATGCAAAGATATTAACTAATTATTTATGGGGCAACCAATTATTTTGTACTGTACATCCCAAGACCGAACATCATGAAATGTTTGTTAGTTGAGCAAGCAGGACAGTCGAGCAATTCCTTTTGGAATGCAATGAAGTCAACTAGTTAGATGGAGAAGGCCCTTTAATGAGAATAATTCATTAACATAGACACAATGCTGCTCAATTTACTTACGCATTAAACAACTAACCAGCAAAATGTTTCAAGAGCCAGAAAATAACCTTTACATAATCATTGGGTTGAAGTAGAGTGGTCTGGAGCTGCAAGTGCTCATTTCTACAAATTTTCAGAAACGACAGACAGTAGTTGAAGTTACAAAGTCTGTATGTCTTGGGAACATACAGAATAAAAAACCTCCAGAGTTTGCCTATGTGCCCTTCTTTTCTTGAAGATGCCACACTGCTTTACCCTCTCCTGTTGTATTGTTGGCCTGGGTCAGCTCAGATGTGTGACCCCTGACTGGACCCAAACATCCAGGTATACAACAGTGACTCTCTTGTAACTTTCATCTAATTTCCAACAGAAAACGAATATAACCAATTAAATTTACATCTCATTTGCCAAGAAAAATCTAGTTGAAAAAGAGTTCTGTCTTCAAAAATCAATGTTTGAGATAACTCTGGGAGGATATAACTAAGTCATGGCCCATGGTTTATTCTGGCATGAAAGTCAGAGCCAAGATGCCCAGTCTTTCTGATGGGCTGTTCAGTATCATGTGGAAGCTACCTACAGTCCTCCTTCCATCATGACTTGGTAACCAGGCAAAACCACAAGCTACCTACTCCTGTCCTCCTTCTATCATGACTTGGTAACCAGGCAAAACCACTCCCACAACACGTGAACATTTCATCCTGTAAACATGGTAATCTCACAAACATACATCCCACTGTGTCACCAGGATCACATTTCAGGGAACCCAGCTGGGGAACACAGCATGGATAAAGTGAGCTGCCAGAATGATTTGTCTGGTCCATAATCTCACAGTATTCCTGCCTCAGGAATCAGGGTAGTACAACATGGCCTGCAGCCAGGCTGATTGCTTCCTCTATGGGCCTTATGCAACCTTCTATTCACTGACAAACCTGTACCAGAACATTAGAGCTTGGATGAGAGGAGATGCGGACAAAAATTTAAAACCCTCCCAGTTCACTGCTACACCTAAAAAATCCAGCTGAATATCCAAAATCAATGTAATTTAACCCTAAAAGGATTGATTAATTTTCTCTCTCAGTAAGATCAGGTCTTTGAGCAGCAGAGGTTAATAACAGATAGTGTTGCATACTTCCACTAATGTTCTCTGGCTCCTCATTTTTTAAGTGATATCCATAAAGAGGTCACAGCAATAACTAGAGATGATTCTCTTTCTATGCCAATTACTGAGATGCTGGGAGGATCATTTTCAGACTCTGATTGTTGTTTTCCAAGTACACTAGGAGACTTGATTTTCCTTCCTGCTCCATGCAGGAAGATAAGCAGCTGTCAGGAGGACAGTAAAGCAAAACACTTCTATCTTTGCTGAGAGGCTTAAATACAGGTTCATAGCATAGACGTATAAACTGAATACAAGCCTTAACAGGAATCTATGTCAAGAAGAAGAGACTAAGATTGAGTCGGGGTTTTTGCACCAGGTCAAAGGTAAATGAATATGAGGGGCCAGTATCCCTTGAATTGACTCAACTGCTAGAGTGCTCATGTTTATCCTCTGGCTTCTTAAAAAGAGGAATGAACACAACAAATCTTTAAGTTATGGATTTAAAGAGTGCCTTCCTCTAATAACAAGGCACAAATACTTTGTTTTACGTGGCTCAAACACCCTGTGACAATTTCTAATTACATGTTTGAAGCTACAAATTCTGTCTCTCAAAACTTGACACAAAATTTGAGATACTTAGTGCATAGTTGAGTGAGTTCAGTTACTGGACTTTGCCCCAAGCTGCATTATGCTTTATCTGCATCTGAACAGTACTAAAGTAAATTAAAACTCTTAAAATTGTCACTTCTCAAATAATACTTGCAACTAAGTGTCATCTGATAACAAAAATCATGGAGAAACATAAGAGACAATCTTTCTACATGGACACCTTCTCCAGGAAACTAAGAGCTGATTCATGTCCTTTAAAAAAGCATCAAAAGTTACAGCCATTAAAATCCAATTTCAGTGTGTCTCCTGGAACAGAAGTAATCATGCCATCTTGTCAAGACTTCTGTTTTGATGCCCCACATTGTTTGTGTTGAATACTCAGTATATTCCTGATTAATTTAAAAATTAAAAAGATGAAAAAATTATTTTCAGTTTCTAGTTTCATTCTTTACCATGTAGCCTTTTTGTCTCAAGCAGGTGCTGTAAGAATATTCCACTTTATTTCCAGACCTAATGATGTAACCTCTCTAAGACAACTGGGAATGTGACCATGGAGCATGCAGGGTTGTAATGACAAAGCTGGACTTCCTGATTCCTTGCTATTCACACTC